TCAAATACTTCATATTAATAATATTTAATTTAAAGAAAATCAACCTTCAAATAATGCAAAAAATAAAAGAAATCAAGTTTCAACTAAACAGGTAAAATAATTAATAAGAAAAGATCAAACAAATTTGAAGTATATATCTCACATCAATGATGAAGAATATAACAAGATAAAATAATTTAATAAATGCGCAACAGTGATCTACACAATTTAAAAATATAATCTTTCGCAATTAGCCCGTGTACACACTCGTCACCTTGTGTACACGACTTTCAACATATTTCAATAATCACATTAATATTAATTCTAGGGGAAATTTCCCCCACACAAGGTTAGACAAGTCACTTACCTCGACTTGCTCCAATTTAACCAAGTATTATGCTTTTTCCTCGAATTTTCGACTCCGATCGACTTGTATCTAGTCATAATTAATTCGATACAGTCAACAAAAATTATAGTAATCAATTTCATAAGAAAATATTACATTTTCATTAAAATCCGAAATTAGCTCAAAATTTGCCCGTGGGGCCCACAACTCGGAATCCGGCGAAACTTATAAAATCCGACAACCCATTCAATTACGAGTCCACCCATACCAATTTTACCAAAATCCAATAACAACTCGACCTCCAAATCTTAAAATTTCATTTTTGGAAGATTTTGCAAAAATCTTGATTTTTCTTTCATAAATTCACGGGTTCATGATGTAAATGAGTATGGAATCATGAAATATAATCAATATAGGATAAGGAACACTTACCTCAATGTTTTTCCGTTAAAATCACCCAAAAATCGCCCAAGAACCGTGCTCCAAAAATCCAAAACGAAATGAATGAAATGACCATTTTTGGTCCTTAAGTTTATGCCAATCCGTCACTAAAAGTCCACCAGAAATAGCTCTACCAGTCTTACTTCAATTGATCATAACTTTATGTACAAATGTCCAAATAATAAATGGTTTAATTTTCTGGAAACTAGAATCCACCGACTACAACTTTCATGTTTTGCCATTATTCTGATTCCTTATGCATTGCGAGATATAGGCTCCCAAAGTCGGCTGCATGCATCAAAATTTCTGGCAAAATTTCTGACGAAACTGCTCTACCAGCCTTCATTCAATCCATCATAGCTTTCTGTACAAATGTCCAAATAATGCATAGTTTAACTTTATGGAACCTATAATCAAACGACTACAACTTTTATATTTTGCACATTTTCTGATTCCTTATGAATTGCGAGATATAAGCTTCCAAAGTTGGCTCCACGCACGAAATTTCTGCAACAGAAATTTCTGCAAACAGAAATTTCCAGCACTTTGTCCGAAATCCATTCCGTTTACCTTCCGAAATCCACCCGAGACCCTCGGGACCTTAACCAATTATTCCAACATGTCCCAAAATACCATACGAACTTAGTCGAGGCTTCAAACNAGCATACGCCTAAGTTCCAAATCATGATACGGACCTACCAAAACTATCAAAATACTGATCCGAGTCCGTTTGCTTAAAATGTTGACCAAAGTCAACTTAGTTGAGTTTTAAAGCTCTAATTCGTATTTTAATTCATTTTTCACCTGAAAACTTTCCGGAAAATTTTACGGACTGTGCACGCAAGTCAAGGAATGATAAATAGTACTTTTCGAGGTCTTAGAATATAAAATTAATTATTAAATTTAAAGATAACATTTTGGGTCATCACAATATGCCTTACTTGCCTAGCCTTTAAGCCGGCCCTGAAGACGGGTAATATTCTTCTCATATACTCTATATTCTCATAGTCGACTGTGTATTGTTGTGGTCAAGCATCGATTTGACGATTTCTTCTGGTTCGTAATTGAAACTACTATATGAAATTGTGATTAATTTTGTTATGGGTAATTTTGTGCCAAATTCTGAGGTTCAATCTCGACTATTGATTTCATTGAATTCACCTTAGATTCATCATACCCTTTTTATGTGTATCCTTCCGACAGTCCCGATAGTCAATTAATTACAATACCTTTCAATGGGACTGGCTTTGTGATATGGCATAGTAGTATGTTGACTTCCCTTTCAGCAAAACAAATTAGGTCTAGTCACTGGTAAAATTCTTCAACCACCTCCTGAGTCTCCATATTTTTCTTATTGGGAGAGTTGTAATAACATGGTAAAGACATGAATTACTAACTTCTTAACTAGAGAAATTGTTATAAGTGTCTATGTGTTTTGCCACTGCAAAAGAAGTATGTGCAGATATAAATGATAGATTTGGTCAATCTAATGGATCAAGTATATCCAACTCCAAAGGGAGATTAGTTCCACCTCTCAAGGGTTTGTTGATATAGCAACCTACTTCACCAGAACGAGGAACTTATGGGATGAATTGAACTCTTCTTTGCCCACATGTTCTTGTGGTGCACTTCCTAAGTCCATTGAAGATCAACATCTCTTTCAGTTTCTCAGTGGTGTTAATGAATCTTACTCAATAGTTAAAAGCAGCATTCTTATGATGTCTCCATACCCAACAATCAGTAAAGCGTATTCACTCCTTTAACATGAAGAAAGTCAGAAGGAGACTCAAACTCTGTCTCCGGGATTTTTTGCTAATTCAACCTCATTTTCTGCATCCTCTAACTACCAACAACCTAATAAACCTTATAATCAGAGGGTTACTTTTGAACCCAAGAAGTCTTCAGCTTCAACTTCAGTGTCGTGCTAGTATTACAAGAAGACTGGACACACTATAGAGAAGTGTTATAGGTTGCATGGGTTCCCCCTGATTTCAAGTTCACATAGAATAAGAAATATGCTGCTTATGTTCGAATGGAGGGAATTTCCCATGAAAATCTCATCCCTTCCACTACTATATTCAATGACTCATCGACCCATGGTTTTCAGAATCCATAGCAAAAAGGAGAGGAAAGCTTGGAGTGCTTCCCCCTCCAACCAATAGTCACAACTCACAATTTATGTTGCCACCACCCGTGGATAGTGGCTGCCTCTTTATTTTAGGGAAAGAAAAAAACTTTTCTCTCCTTTTTGCTATGGATTCTTGGGGAGTTCATAGGGTTGCTGCGAAAGTATATATCTAAACTACCGTCTCAATAATTTTAAATCTACATACAAAATTTGAATGATTTAGATTTATTAAGAGGCAACAAGTTGTCATAAAAAGAGTACGGTTTTGCGCTGTAGTTAGCTCAGCATTAATCAAGAATCCTAAGGAATTTCTAAGAGTAGACTTTTGAATAAACTTCGCGCTTTTGGTTGATTGTGGGGAGGATAAGCACATGGCCAGTTTCTTGAATTCTGAAGTTCGTACGTACACATTCTGTACTTGTTTGAGGATGCTATTATTCAATTACTAAAATCTGAAGATCAAATGATAAGACACCTCTCTTTTTGTTTCTCTACAATCTACATACACCGTGATTCAAGGAAATAACATGGAATTAATCATGAGCGAATATTATCAGCCAACCAATTAAGACCAAATAATAAAATTCACTACTTTGATAAATGAATCTGATTAAATTTACTTTTCTTGTTGTTTGTTTTGGCTATGATAATGGAGTTACATATCGGGCAACGTCATTTCCCAGAAAGCTTTGTGCTGAGAGCCGTACTTTTCAGTTACGGTATTTCTCTTGGACTACTTTTGAAACACTACAAATGTTTTTAATTATAGAAATTTTAATTAATGATACTTTATATACTCCCTCTAGAATCTATATGACACTCTTCCTTTTTTGGTGAGTTCAAGAAAATGACATTTTTGTATTTAGTAAGATTTTAATTCTAAACCTTTCATCTTTACCCTAGATGATATATAGCCTTAGAAATTTGTTTGACTTATTTTAAACTACAAGTTTCAAAAGCCTTTCTTTCTTTTGTCTCCTCAAACACTATCACATAGATTAGAACAAAGAGAGTATGGGTGTTTAACGGGCGGGTTGGGATGGGTTGTACACAAAATAAACCAGCCCGTCCGTTTAACGTTCCGGGTTGTTAGCGGACTGAATTAGCGGGCTGTACTTTTTCAAGTTTTTTTTGTCCGTACGGGTTCGGGCTTAGCGGGCTGGATCGGGCCATGCAATTATTTTTTTTTAAAAGTAAATTTTATTTTTCTTATTCAATGTTATTGATACTTAAGTGTTTGCAAACTTTTAAGGCTTAGAATTAAACTTTGAAGTTTAAAGTTTTAAATTTGAAATTTGAATTTTACAATTTTAAAATTGAAATTTAAAAGTAAATGGCTACAAAAAATTATTTAATAAGACCAATAGGCAATATGTAAGGATCAAGCTCCGAAGACTTTCATTTGATATTTTTATTGAATAATATATAATACTTCAAATTAAGTTGCAAGTTCTTTTTTGATTTTGTTATTTTTGAACTTGCAAATTAAAAGTTTACAACAATTATAAAAAAAAAACAAAAAAATAGTACATCACATGCTTCGCATCATTTTTGTAAGTTCATCCATGTCAACATGAGGTTCTTGGTTTCCGGCATTTGTTGAATCAGAACCATAAACCATTATATCTCCAATTTCTTGGTCCTCCACTTCATCTACCTCGTCACGCCCTTGATTTCGCCGTTCTGATTTTATCTAATCTCTGAAGCACACTAGAATTTTCAAAGCGTTGCTACCCAATGAATGACGGGTATCTCCTAGTTGCTGCCTTGCTTGGCTAAATGCGCTCTCTGATGCGACTGTTGAAATCAGCACATTTAGCACGTCTCGAGCCATGGCCGAAAGACAGAAAATTGATTTGAGTTACTCCTCCACCAACCCAGTGGTAGAAATCCCTTAGTGCAGGGCTCTGCTGACTTTTGCAGAATTGAAGTTCATCAATATTCCTGCTACTAGTTTGTTGATGCTGTCCTAGTGTAGACCAAATCAAATAATCTTTAACACCATCATTATCATCCAAACCACTGGTCCCAGATGTTGAAACTGAACTTGAAGGAATATTTGCATCTACAGCAGAAGAAGTATCAACACTGTTAACATAATAATTATATAATGTTTCTAAATGTTTGTGTAGATCAGANCTGTTAACATAATAATTATATAATGCTTCTAAATGTTTGTGTAGATCAGAAATACAAGTGTCAATATCAGGAGTTTCAGTTGGTCCAATATCCATATAAGAATATAAAGCACTGATTAATTGGCGACAAGTGGCCATTTTGATAGAATGGTGTAAAATAATACCAATTAGGTAAATAGGGGGAATTGGGTAGCTATATTTGAATTTGACCGTTGGCAACGGTCCAGCAAAAATAAATAAATAAATAAATAAACCCGTTAAAAGCCGGGTTGTAGCCCGTTAAAAATCCTTTAACGGGCTTAGCGGGTTCCGGTGCACCGGTATCAAAAAACTGTTCGTTTGAAACCCGCTTTCCGCCAGGGGCGGATGTAGTGCATTGTGGACGGGTTCAATTGAACCCATAGCTTTCGACGCGGAGTAAAAGTTTATATGTAAAAATTTATTAAAATTACAAAAATAATAGATATGAACCCATAACTTTAAATATATAATGGGTTCAATGCTAAAAATTTCAAAAATTGAACCCATAGGATTTAAATCCTGAATTCGCCTCTGCTTCCCGCCCAACCCGTCCCAACCCGCCCCCATGCTACAGTACCGGGCTGAACCGGGTTGTAAACGGGTCAGCCCGACCTGATTAACAGGTATAGAAGAGAGTATGTATAGTTCTAAACTCTCTGTACTGGAACTATACCATTACATAGTTCTAAACAGGAGCAGAGCTACTGTTCAACCACTAACTTGGGTTAATTTCACTGAAAGTCATCCAATTTATCATTTATATCACAAAAGTCACTTATCTATTTTTCATCACTTAAAAGTTACTCAACTTTACCTTTATAACTTAAAACTCGTTATAATTCAAAACCTATAAAATATCCAATAAAAAAATATGACATGGCATTATATTTAATTAAAAAATCTAACAATAATGCCACATAAGTTTAAATAGACCATATCTAAGTTAGACCCATTTCTTTCTTAGCCCGATTTGACCTATAACCAAAATGGGTTATTAATATTTGAACAATTAACTGGACTAGCACTTTGATTTTGTGGTTAATTTGTAGAAAAAGAAGTCTAAAAAATTTAAGAAAAAATAGGTCTTTTGAATTTATCTTTAAGTTTTGGTTATACATTTACGGTCAATGACACAATACGTTGTCTCTTTCTTTTGTCTAAACTATCGCTATAGGTTGTCTACGCTTGCGGTGTGTATTGACAACTTCTACTATGGAATTTCATTGTGGGTGTTTCTTACTGAGCAGTATTTTTGTATGTTAGTATTGCTTAATAAGCAATATTTTGACTTTAATGGAATAGTAATTTATGAAAATAGGTTCTTATTAGCTTACTGTTCTTGTCTGTTAGTGGTATATTTATATGTTATGTGAGATTGATATGGTAGTATTTTAACTTCATGAAAAATTATAAAATGATATGAAGGATGCAAAAACTGGTTATGTGCTAGTTATGTTCATATTTTTTATGAAATTATAGGTGGTGGCATTAAGGTTATTACGTAACAAATAAAGTAAGATATTTTTAGCACAAAATAATTGTTCTCTTCTTTTCCTTCTAATGTTCAAAATATTAAAATCCATTTGGGTTATAGGTCAAATCAAATTGTGGATGAAATGGGTCTAAATTGGGCATGGTCCATCTAAGCTTATGTGGCACTATAAATAAATTTTTTAATTAAATTTAATGTCATGTCATATTTTTATAGGATATTTTATAGGTTTTGAACTAGAATGACTTTAAGTTACAAAGGTAAAGTTGAGTGACTTTTAAGTGATGAAAAATAGATAAGTGACTTTTGTAAAATAAATAATAAGTTGAATGACCATCAGTGAAATTAACACCCAGTAACATTGATCCAGGCTTTGTATTCGTATTAAAAAAATTACTTAATATGTATAAATAACTTATTCAGAACACTATAAGTTATCTTTTCTAGATACTATAACCAATAAACTCAAAATCCTTGTTCCGCCTCTAGTTCTAAACACTCTAATATTTATCTCTTCATACCTCAAAGCTCGTCATTCTAAGTATGAAAATTATTTCTAAGTTTAGTAAAAAAGCCCAAATGGACATAACGATTCGAATCCAAACACTAGAATGAATTCTGAACCTACGACTTGGGACCTTTTTCTTGTCATTCAAGCATCCAACATGCTTAATATTTTTGGTCCTACGTGCAGTGGGTGAAGCAAGAATTTCACCAAGGGAATTTACAAAAAAAAATATAAAAAAAATAAACGCGAAGAAACTAAAGGAATTCACCATCTAATAAATATATAAAAAATAAAAATTAACCTTTCGGCAAAGGGGATTTCGGCAAAGGGGATTTGGCTGAACCACTTCTGCCCACCTAGCTCCGCCCCTTCCTACGTGCATGCCTAACAAAGGAAATTAAAGTAATTAAGGTGGTAAGTTTTCCAAGAACATTACCACGGTACAACATGTGAGACCGATTCCGTACACTTAACTTTCTCCGGAAACTATGAAAAACGGGTCACATCTTTGGTAATCTTTGCTGTTAAGGTAGAAGTCATATCTGAAAGAGAAGAATGAGCACATAGTATTATTAGACTTGAAAGACAAGTAAAAAGGACTTCACCAACATGCATGTGCATTAATATGAGAATGATGGGACTAAAGAATGTAAAGTCAAAGCAAAGGCATGTGAGTTTGCCTACAAATTCAAGGCAAAAAGTATATTTTATGTCGCAAGTGAGATGCTAGTCTTATGTTTCATAATAGAGTTGAGATGAGATATATTGAACAATTCACGGCTTATCTACTGGGAAAACAATGTGGACTTTGAGGGAAAGGTGACGAACGTGGGAATAATTGAATGAGGTTCTCAGCTGATAGGGATAATTCAATTTCAATATAGAAAACAAATTGTTTTTCTCTCAGCTACCTCATCCCCACTTGCAGTGATTGCATGTGAGGTGGTTGCATTAAACAAAACTGAGCTCCTATTTAAGTAGCAGCTACTTTTCTTGGTTAACCCATCAAATTATTAGAAACTCATCCCAATTCGATTTCCTCAATCTTATTTCTACTTCTGCTACTTGCTTCTACAAAGGATATGGCCAAATGTGGCATTCTAGCACTGGGTTTCATAATAGGTTTCTTTAGCATTTTCTTTAATGCTAATGCTTTCACAGCTTCAGGATGGATGAGAGCTCATGCCACTTTTTATGGTGGGGCTGATGCTTCTGGCACAATGGGTAAGTACCAATATTTTCCAAACAAACTAACCTCAAACTAGTTCACGTCGACTATATGAATATAGTCTGACTATTTTTGTGTAACGTGCAACAGGGGGTGCTTGTGGATACGGCAACTTGTATTCGACAGGGTATGGAACTAGAAGTGCTGCATTGAGCACTGCCCTGTTCAACAGTGGAGGATCTTGTGGGCAATGCTACAAGATCATCTGTGATTACAAAGCAGAACCACGCTGGTGCAAGAAGGGAGTATCTGTTACTATCACTGCTACAAATTTTTGCCCACCAAATTATGCCCTTCCTAGCGACAATGGAGGCTGGTGTAACCCCCCTCGACAACATTTCGATATGGCACAACCTGCTTGGGAAAAGATTGCCATTTACAGAGGTGGCATTGTCCCTGTAATCTACCAAAGGTAGAATAAAGCTTTCATTGAAAAATAGTTTCGCTTGGATTTAAGGTTCTTGCTTGAACAATAACAATACTAAAAATGAGTCTAACATCTATACATGGACAGCTATAAGAATTTTTACAGCATCAATTTATCAAATCACATATATATATGTAACTGTCCATAAAAGTGGAATAGTAACCTAGAAATCAGGCATGTACCAGCTACAAATAAAATTATTTTTCTACTCTCTGTGTATACAAGTTAAATTATGTTCACTTGCTCATTCAATGGCTTAAATAAGTAACTTATGAGCTCGACTACGGACATGATTCTTGGCAGTTAACACAAAGTTATTAAGGGAAGTAGCTAAATTTGACAAAGTGGGTGTTTTTTGTTTTGTGGAGCAGGGTTCCATGCAAGAAACGTGGTGGAGTTAGATTCACAATCAATGGAAGGGACTATTTTGAGCTAGTATTGGTAAGCAATGTAGGAGGGGCTGGATCAGTTCGATCAGTTCAAATCAAAGGGTCAAGAACAAATTGGATGACAATGTCTAACAACTGGGGAGCCAATTTTCAATCCACTGCTTATCTCAATGGACAATCCCTGTCCTTCAGGGTCACTGCAACAGATGGTGTCACGAAAACATTCCTAAACATCGTTCCAGCCAATTGGCGATTTGGGCAGACATTCTCAAGCCCCACTCAGTTCTCATAAAGCAAAAGCTTAAGGAAAAGAATTTTAGAGTTCTTGTGTTCATAGGCAGTGGTGTGCTTAGATATTTTACCAAAAGCAGCCATGTCCTCTTCTTTTTTATTTTTTTTTCAGCAATACTACTGGCATAAGAAGAAAAGATGGAAATGTATACTTCCAATTATTAACACAGCCTTGTCCACAGAAGATTAATGAGACTGTTTCTCTTTGTGGGTCTTTCGTTTTTTTATGTATGGTTTTCTTTATTTGTCCGGTGTAAAAATAATTTGTGCCCTCAAATTGAATCTCAGACGATGAAAAGATGGAAGGAAATCCAATCAAACACCAGATGTTGGATCAATGTACGGCAAGCAAGAGCAATGGAGTAAGAATCAAATTTAAAATTAAACATTGACAAAATAGTAGAGCAGACATTAAATTCAGGAAATGACATATAACCAGTTCATATTAATCATAAATTCCGAAATTCAAAATCAATTTAGCCATTCCTGCTTAACCACATTACCAATTGAAAATACTCAGACACTCAAAATTCTTAAAATAAATTTGTGACTTGAAGTTAGGGTTTCGGCCAGAACTACAAACATGGACCTATGTTCAAGTCAAATCAAACAAGGAAATCACAATTGAAGCCTCAATCGTTCAATTCTATGGTCTCGATAGCCAATTTGAGATTCTAACCTCATAAATCCAATAAAAAAAATACTGAAAATGCATCTAAATTAAAACATCAAAAAAGCAAAACATCAACAAAATCCGCAGCAAGATGCAATCAAATTCCATCGGCGAGACACATTGAACACATATCAATACCTTACTTAAGCATAGAAAAAGCAGAAGAAGGAAAACCAGACTGCTATTACAGGGATTAAATTAAGCGGGGAAGGCAGAAACATACCTCAACGAAGCAGAAGAAGGCAATTAAAATGGGATCATTACACAAATAGCGGCCAATATTCATTGTTAATTTTTTTTCTAGCTATATATATATATATATATATAAATTATACGTTGATTATATATAATTATATATAATTATACGCATATAATACATATATAATAACAATAACCCAGTATACGCAGACCTTAGCCCTACCCTGAGGGAGAGAGCCTGTTTTCAATAGACCCTCGGCATCCTTCCCTCCAAGAACTCTCACCTTGCTCTTGGGATGACTCGAACTCACAACCTCTTGGTTGGAAGTGGATGACGCTTACAATCAGAGCAACCCATATGTTATGCATATATTATACTTATACGGCCTATTTTCAAGTTAAGCGTTTGGGCGAGCGGCTATTTGAATTAATCTGTCGCAGAGAAGGCAGAGTCGCACTCAAAAAAAGAGTCCAAATTTTTGTGTGTGTATCAAAGGAATTTTCTTAAAACTTTTGCATACACTTTTAAAACTTTTTAGTGTAAAGTGCAAATTGTCCAAAAACTGAAATTTATTCTTTGAATTTGAATAATCCAACACATAATTCAACACCCAAATCTAATTCGCACGAGCTCAAATTTGAAACATAACTTTTAAATATCATAAATAACAAATCTTAACCATCAATTAGTCAAAACGAAAACAAATCTAACAAATCTATTTTGCAACTAAAAAAGAGAAGTAGAAGAAATCCTAAACAGTAGCAAAAAGCCTCATAAGAATCGAAGAGGAGGAGGAGGAAGTTGGAAGTTATCTGTACTTTGGATATTAATTAAACTTTTTAAAAAAGAGAATACAAGCTAAATAGGGGACCAAATAGAACGTCGTAGGAAATTTTTACAAAGCTGGCACCCCGAAAAAAAAAGAAGGAAGTAATAAAAGTTAATCCGGTCGTTGACTTCAATAATGGGAGACTATTGATCCCATGTTTATTCCTAGGTGATTCTGGTCGAAGTGGGTTGAAAGTTGAAACATTATATTTAATCTGTTTGGAATTTCCATGCATGTGAGTAATTATGTAGCAACTTGTTTACGTCAAAGTGGGTAATAATTAAATTTGTACTAACAATTAAATTTATACGCAATTTAAAGCATATGTGATTTAATTCAACACGAATAATTAAGAATAACAGATAAATGACTTAAAAACGAAATAAACTATCAAACCAATTGTAATGTTTTGACCAAGCCTAATCTTAGATTGAACAATGAACTCGTCCTCGATTGGACCCTCAGATCAAGCCCAACCGCGAATGAAGAATAGAACAAGTGAGTAATGCTTTCATAGTAGCTAGAAGATAAAAGTAAATCTTTATTGCTTTGAATTGCGTGTTACAATGTGTCAGATCAAAGAAAAACCTCCCCTTTATATAGTAGGAGAATTTCAATCCTAGTATACGTCTAAAAAAAGTAAAAATCTTCTTTTTCCGGCAATTATTGATCCATAATCGTTACTGAATCGTTCCTGAACGAGATTCGCACCGTAATATCCGGTTGAGGGCGAATATTACGGCCTCTATCCGTCATGCATAACTGTCCACCGCGTCTCCCGTGTTCTAGGAGTTATACTCGGTCCGAGGTGCGTCGCTTTACCATGTTCGATGTCGGATATATCGTTCATACTTCCTAGGTCTCGACATAAAAGGTCTCTGGCCCCGATTATAATCTCACGGATCTGTGTTCCTCCTTCATTCTTTCATCGGGGAATCGGGATAGACATTACCCCCGATTTTACCCGTACACAGATAGTCCCCTCGTTTTCTGGAGAGCAGGTTTATCGAAGCGACGCGAAGCGATAAATGAACCCCGGTTCCTTCCTTCGTACGTTACAACCGATTTGACGGGTCAACGAAACGTCCCATCAGTCGTGTCGTTCTAACTTCGGACACGTGTCAGCCACCGGTTGATTGTCCTCGAATGTGAAACGTCACGCATTTATTGTCCTTCCTGTATAAAAACTCCGACCCTTTTTCACTTCTCCACTTTCCAACTCCAGAGCTCTTTGATTTACCCTCGAGTTCTCCACTTACCTTTAGCCTCTTCAAATCTTCATACATTGCTCCTTAGATCTTCATATCTTCATCCTCAATCTTCATACATTCTCTTTGAATCTTCAACCCAGACCTTCATATCTTCATCCCATCTTTAAATCTTCATGTATTTTCTTCAAACCTTCATATATTTCGGAATCCGATGGCAAAAACTTATAAAAACAAAGGGCCTCAACAAACCGCCCCTTCATCTTCCAACCCGGCACAGACGCCGAGGTGGCCATTCCCGAGATGGCCCAGGAGCCTCATTTGAAGAGGTTCGTCCCCTGGGGCTGCTCTATTCAGAACGACTTCAACGTCGAGAAGGCCTCCAGCCAACACGACCGAGGGGGAGCATGGAGTATGCTCCGTTACTGAGGAGACACTACCCACAGTTCGAGTAGACTGTAACTGGGAGGGCAAGGAGGTGGTCATCCCCGGGCATAACAAAGACATCACCACTCACGTGGAGAGGTACCTAAGGGTTTACACTTACCCCTTCACGCTCGCCCTGGTGGACCCCATAATCCTCGACTTCTGCAACATGTACGAAATCTGCCTTGGACAGATTCATCCGTCCTTTTGGAGGATCGTAATCCTCTTTCGTCACTTCGTTAACAACATCGAAGCACCTTGGTTCACCCTCGATCATCTGCTTCATCTATACAGTCCCCGAAGTTTCTGAGGGGAGTTGATCAAGCTCGTTCGCCAAGAAAGTAAGGCTCTGTTCTCGAGCATCGACGAGGACCGAGATTGAGGTTGGTAGGGGAGGTTCGTTCGGGTAAAAACCGAAGACCTCATTCCCTCTGAATTTCTATCGTTCCCCAAAAAGTGGAACGCGTCCTGTAAGTCTTTTCCTTCTTGAGTATTTGGCATTCCGTTTTATTCTTTTTCCAATTGCATATGTTTATCGTTGTGCAGCGGTTGCCTAGGTTCCTAATGCAGTTCCCTGCTTTAAGGAGTGGATTGAGGGGATATGCAAACAGATGTCATACTTCGAGCGTGCATGGCGCAAGCTCTCGAAGGGCAAGTGGGAGGCTCGTTCCCATGGTAAAGCTCTCTCCCGAATGATTACATCCATACACTTGACTTATATTTCGCTAAGTTTTCTTTCTTCTCACACGTTTGCTCAAGACCACCGAGCTCAGGCAGTTAGATGATGATGAGGATGAGGATCCTCCCTCGCTCGCTGAACCAACCACTTCGGGACAGCCTGGGGCTGCCGCAAAGAAGGAGCAAAATAAGAAGAGGAAGTCCTCAAGCTCCCGGAATATTGAGGTGAAGAAGAAGAGGGTGGTCGTCCGGGTCCGAAAAAGTAACAAAAAGAGCACCAAGTCCAGGTCATCGGACTCCGATTCCTTCTATCGGCCTAAGGATTACCCCGAGGTTGACAACCTCGAGTTCATTCCTCATGAGTCGACCATTAACGAGGGGGAGGCGGCAACGACCTAAAAAGGTGACCATGAGGTCGATCCCCCTCTAGCTTGGGAACCAGAGGGAGAGTCGGAGGCCACGACCTCCCGAGAAGCCGCTCCTGCCCCGAAGGAGGTAGCTGGTGTCATCGACATCGCGAAGATGTTATCTCACATTGAGTCCATGTTTGAAGAGGCTCAAGCTGACAAAGAGAAATCAAAAGAGACGGCACCAGAACCAGATGATGCCCTTAACATGTTCTTTGATGGCATGGACATGACCGTGTTGGAGGAGTACTCCAGGCTTGGTCACCTGGAGGTCCCAAAAAGGATGTACCATCGGGAGCGGGCGAGTCGAGCTCGAGCCCAAAACTAGTAAAGTAGTTCACTGCCCCGAGTGTGGACCTCGATTGTAAGAGAACGGTCGTTCTTACTATCTCAGCGGACGCCCGAGCACTGTGCGCTCCGGTGGGCATGGCCAGCTACCTTTGTTGTCTGTGACCGAGCAAGACCAGTCAAAGATGAATGAAGTAGGCACATCCAGGATCTTTAATGAGGCGCAACAAGCACTGAATCGGGTAAACGTCTATCCGTTGTATTCCTTGCGGATTTTGCTTAGCATATTCTAATGGCCTTATTGTTTTCAGGCTTCGGTGCTTCATCATGAGAGCTTTCTTCGGTCTATCTTGGAAATCAGTGAGCCCGAGTTCGAGCTCAAAGAGTAGATAGGGAAGAAGGACATGTATAGGGCCCTCAGTGAGCAACAAGATGAGGCTCTTAAGGATCTTCCAACTCTCCGAGCCGAGTTGGAAAAAGCTCAGAAGGAGGCCTCGTCTGTGAAATGGGAGCATGCCGATCTAGTCGAGAAGGTAAGGATCTTTGAGGCTAAAAATGAGAAGCTTCTCATGATGACTAACAACGCAAATTCGCAGGTCCAAGAGAAGATAGACTTGATCGACTAGCTTCGGGCTGAGATGGACGAGGTCAAGGCCACGGTCGAAGCGTTGAGGGGCAGGATGGACCTGCTGGCTTAAAAAAAAGGCTATGAAAAAGGAGCTAGCATCGGTCAAGTACCAGCTTCAGGTGGCAAAGGACAAGGCCAACAAGTGGTCTCGGCTAAATGATAAACTCCAGGCACTGAACTCAGCCATCACGGAATGGGATACCCTCGGACAAGAATATACTGTATTGAGGTCCAAATTGGAAGCAACTTCGGTCGATTCCTCCGATGTTGAGGAAATGCTGGCCTAGTATAATGCTGATGTGGAGATAGTCGAGGCCCGCTTAAAGACGAAGACCGAGTATGTGAAGCGGCTATCCCGGAGAGAGACCATCGAGGAGATTCACGCTCGAGGTTTTGACCTGTCGGCTGAGATCGAAGAAGCCAAGAGACTTGAGGCCGAGGCAAGTCTGGGGGTTCTGATGGTTCTGGTGACGAGTCGAGTTCCGAAAAGACTAGGCGTAGATGCCTTAGTTCTTTTTTAGTTTTCCCTTGCATATTTTCT